TTTTGCCCATGCCCTGAAATATTTGTTTGATGATTCATCGTACTTACCTATTGACTGGCACATTGGCAGAGTCCAAAGTTTCTTTACAACATAAAATATTGTTTTATGATTTGTCAGATAAATTGATTGTTTCCTGCTGACACTTGTAGATAAATTCTGCTAGAGTGAACTGGAGGGAAGAATACAACCTTCGGCTTACAGGTACTTAGGGTAGTGATGGGGGAATGGGGTCATATTTTTTGGCTAGAGAGAACAACTCCTTTTACTTGAATGTATAGTCAGTCATTGCACTTTTTAAACAGTTGAAAAATCCCTTACCTTGAAGAAACTGTGTTACCAAATGCAAAGTGAGGGCATTATTTTCGCACATTAATTCTTGTTAATCTCAGTTTGGTAGCTATGTTGAATAGGACATCCAAGCACAACTAAAAGAAAGGAAGGCCTTATCTAAGCAAAGAGAATAGATTTTTAGTGACACTTTAAATTGTGCCATTTGCCTTGTATCACCAAATCACACCACTGTTCTCTAGCTGGCTTTTAACCATACACACATTACTTGAAAATCAAAGAAGAGATTTTAAAAGCTGTCAACAACTTTCGTGCTGGCACTCCAAAAGGGGAGTGACAACTCAGACTCTCTTTTGAATATTGTAGATAATTATTCTTAGGTCATCCTTTCCCCCACCCCACTGCCACACCTCCCCCCAGATAAATAACATTCATCCAGGGTGATGGATTCACAATTTGTAACTCAAAAAATGATTTATTTAGCATTACATGTCGTTGTGTAAGAACTGACTCCATGACAAAAATTTCTGGGAAGCTGATCTTTTCTTTTGTCTAGGAAGATGGATGTACTTTTTAAAGCTAGGTTTCCTCCCACAGTTATTGAAACACAGAGACTGTCACCTAAAACGTATACCTTATAAACCAGGAAAACTATATATCATACATTTCCACATGGTCTGTGTATATTTCTCCAAACTCTGCCCACACTAGTGTATTTCCACATCTGCAGAAAATATTTTATAGCCTGTTTGGAGTCATTGCAGAACCTTTGTTTTCCAGGCAAAATGAAGCCTGAATTGTAGTTGTAACTCTTGCTATTCCAAGAAATAAATATTAGATTTTTATGTTTGCAAGTCCTCTGCCTCATAATTAGCCTGTTTTTTATGTCTACTTTAGAATTAAGGAAGGGTATAGATTGAACAAGCTGTCATGCACATCAGTTAACAAAACTAGTGTTCCTGGAATAATCGATGGAATATACGGAAAAGGAGAAGAGAAAAACAGGGCTTTTGCAATGCAGAGAAATGGAAAAAAGGAACTTGACTCCCTTCTGAGTGACCTGTAAAATAAAGGCATTAAAACTTTATGTTATGAGCTGAGAAATCATAGCACCACAATGAAAATCATCGAAGAATTGAAAAGGATGTCTTTTGATGAAAGTCACAACCTAGGTAGTGTTAAGCTCTTTGCCAGTAAGAAGAGGCTAAGGGCACTTCCTAACTAAGACGACTTCCTAGATTAATCCATAGAGTTTTCCTGGTTGAAGAAAAACCAGTTAATCTTCCTTCTTCTTTCCTCCCTTCCTCCTCTTTCTGTGCAGGGTTTCCTTCTCTGGGCTTGTCTTCAGGCATGTCTGTCACTGGAAAGGGCTACCTTGTTCTGCAGTTCAAATTGCAAAGGGATCAGCCAGAGAGTAAAGGTCTCTTTCCCTCACTCCCTTTCTCCCTCCTATCCTTCCTCCCAGCCCTCCTCTCTCCGAGTGAATGTTTGCATTTTCATTCCTTGTGACGTCATGCAGCTGAGACATATGTATCATGAATTCTGCAGGTCTCTAACATTACTGTGGGGTGCCACTTTTGGTTCTTTTATAGTTTTTTTATCAAGAAAAGACTGCTATCAATACCAAGCCAAATTTTTGCTCCTAACCTTGTTTGTATCAAAGAAGTTTACCCAGGTTTTTTTAAGAAAGGGGATTAGAAAATCACTATTTCCTCCTTAATTAACATACTTCTCTTTGGATTTTGGCTTACAGTGACTAAACTTTTACTGACTCCTCCATTCTAAAAAAGAGTCCTTAAATCTTAAATTCCACTGCACAAAAGATTTCATCAACTTATTTACAATTGGCTTTAAAAGTACTAGCTAAATGGAAACTGCAACTGCTTCTTTTAAATGCCTTTTTTTTCTCTTGTAGGGAAGATCTCTAATGGTTTAAGTCTCTATTCCCCACTTCTTGGCTTATTTTAACATGTAGAAATAAATTGATAAGAAATAATTAATACAATCCACATGAGAGGGAAGTTGATGGGAATGAAAACGGAGAACTCAGTTGTGCATTTTTTAAATAACTGGGTTTCGGTTTAGTCCAAGCCATCATATTTTTTTTACCACATTAGGAACTAAAGCCTCAGATGCTATTTATGAATCTGTAGAAATTGAACAAAAAACCAGCCAGCATGTCGGGGCCCCAGGACGTGCTCATGTTGCCTACAAGAGTGGTCTAAAAAGACAATGTGTAATATGTAATGTGCACTGATTTGCATCATGTGAAGTCACTTAAGCACTTGCCAAGAGCTAAGTACTGGTGTGTAAACACTTTAATTTTACTTGGTGTGTTTTTCTGTCACCTTGTACATTTTGTGGGCATTTATGACTGTTCAAACTGCGGAAAATTGTTTTCATAAAACCAGAGAAGATTTTGAAGCAGGACGATCGCAAAATCCAAAGTCAATAAAATTGTGGTCAATTGAGTCAGTTTAAAGATACTGTTTGCTAATAGAAGTCTCAGCAAAATTTTTCACTAAAGCCTTCTGTGAATCAGACTGACAGATGTCACCACTGAAATACTGTATTGTATATACTATTTGACTGATACAGTTTATTAAGTCTGTAGTTTAATTTTGTACTTTAGTCTTTGCCAGGTTTGAGTTAAAAAGCACAAACAGTTTAGAAATTGTGTATATTTTCATAAAATGTACTTCCTACCTTTCTAAACTTATGCATTTTAACAGAGAAGTAGAACACACAATGGAAACATACATAACAAAAAAGATGTCTGTGTTTGTATGCAAAATAGAAAACAATACCAACCCCCAATGTTATACATTACTAGTCCTGCGTACGTTCTGCTTAAAAATGGGAAAATAAAATAAGAAAATGGAAATGGAAGCAAATTAAAGCAATTTTGGAGCTTTACTTATTTCTGGTGTTGCCATAGAAGAACATTTCTTGGTTCCAGTGTACTTTCCCATCCGATGAAGAGATAGCTGTAACCCTCTATTTCATGAGAAGCAGCAATGGGCCCTTCAGCTGTCAGTGTATGAAAGTGTCATCATGGAGACCTTCCACATTCAGTTTAGCAGCTACAGTTGGGATGGAGAAAGAGCGGCCACTCATTCTCCAGGCACCTGCATTTCTCTACTTGCTTCTACACCTCCTGATTTCAAAGAACAGTAAGGTATCTGTGGTGTGATTACATACAGATAAGGAATAAGTAGTAAAGTAGCTGATAACCCACAGGTCAAAAATCTCCTGTTCTAGTGAAATCCAGATAAAATCATTGGTTAATTTTCAGATTCTTACAGGAATGTGGTTTGATTTGCAGTTCATTTATACCTGGTCATTCTAAGAAATATTACTTGAAAATAAACAAATCTGGCCACCGCAATGTGAAATAAAATCATGTTATTCTTACACAATAAAATGTGTTGTGACATTGTGACTTGACAGCTATTGAAGAAGGATCAGACAAAATTATTTTTTGAGAGAGTCTCAGCTGTATAACACTTGGCATGCTTTGTGTTGTATGACTGCCCATGATTGATAGTCTGAGCAGTAGTGCTGGTATTTGTTTGTGTATTCACAGGCGTAAAGAAAGCACAGGCCTGCAGTACTCCTCCCTTTTCTGAACCACAGATACTGTCAGGTGCATTTATGGCTTTGTGTGCCTAGAATCAGCCATTTCTGCCTCTGAGGCCTTCAGGCTGGAGTTCCTCTATTAATAACCTTCTCAAATAATTATTACTGCATTATCACAGGAACTCTGACTCCAGTCCCGCATTACACTGAGCCTCCATTGAATGTAGTCTATAATTTATAGGTTAGATTTTTATGAGGAAAAAACCAGCTCTATCTGCCTGCCCAGAGAGAAAATATTTTTAAACAGCAAACAAAGTAGTATTTTCGTAAAGGCAACACTTCCCAGGCTGCACATGGCAGTGTGCTTCCAGCTACATGTAATTAGTAGCAAAATCCAACAGGTGGCACAAAAGTATTTGAATTTTATATTGATTTAAATCATATGCCGTTAAATTACCAAATAAAGTGGATGGGGTATTTTTGGTTATTAAAAAAAAAAAAAGGTGTGTGTGGGGGGAAAAGCGTTATCCCGACGCCGCGGACGATGCTCGCCTCTTTCCGAGCAGCCGGGGTGAGGCCAGCGGCTCGTTGCCTCTCGGGAAGCCCCAGGCAGCCGGGCTCCGAGCCCCTCTCCCCAGCGCCCCGGGGAGGTGACATGGCACTTCCTTCGGCCCTTTCTCCCCCCGGCGGGGCCGGCGGGACGAGGCGGAGGCCGTGGTCGCGGCCGGGGGGCCGGATAGAGGATGTCCACACACCTACATAGCCACGCACCCACCGCCCACGCCGCCGCCCGCGGGTCCCGGTCTCGGCTGGCGAGCGGGAAGCGGGGCGGGCGCCCTCCGCTGGCCGCCGCGGGGCCGGGAGCGGGGCCGGGAGCGGGGCCGGGAGCGGGGCCGGGAGCGGGGCCGGGAGCGGGGCCGGGAGCGGGGCCGGGAGCGGGGCCGGG